TATATATATAGTAGAGGGTTTTACGGCGCTCGCAACTGCATTAGGTCATATGAGCGCCAAAATGACTTCTGAGTTCATAACTGGAACGATGCTGAGACTGCCATGTGTCCAACGATCCATTTCCATTTTTTCCCCCACATAATTAAAAGTTGACTTGATTATTTCACTTGGTTTTTTTTTTTACCTATGGCTCCGTCTGTTAAAATCCTCATGCTTTCTAACTTAAAGGTTATATTATGGCTAGCAACATCACTTTTGATGATTCCCCACAACTATACTGTCGGGTTGAAGTCTCTGTGATATGAAGGAAGACGAAGAATGAGTTGGATATGCGCCATTATAAGTCGATTCACAAGACATTACTATTACTTTTAAAGCTTGTGTTTCCTAATCAAGTCATAACGTTCTTGCTTTACAATTAATGCATGCATATCAAAGTTAACCGTGTTTTGTTTTGTCAAGTCAATCAATAGACAAGATTCATTTAACTTTCTATTACACTCTTCAACCTTATGGGGAATTTCCATTGTTCAATTTGAAGAGCAGCTATTTCCAGTAATATGTTCCTGTTTCCACCGTCCCCCACCCGGTCGTTAACTCGAAGGTCCTGCGTCTAGAATGATATTTCAGTTTTTAAGTGCTGTTAACTCAAACTTAGCATCGTTTTAAGATCAATGCTATAGTCACCGGGGTGTTTCTTTGAACAAGACGGGTTGTTACAGATATGATCATTATTATTTTGCAATTTGAAGAAGAAGAAGAAGAAAAAGAAGAAGAAGAAGAAGGAGTTAAGGAGGAGGAGGAGGAGGAGGAGGAGGAGGAGGAGGAGGAGGAGGAGGGAGGAGGAGAAGGAGGAGGAGGAGGAGGAGAAGGAGAAGGAGAAGGAGAAGGAGAAGGAGAAAAAGTAGTGAAGTGTTCATATCCTCGGCTCTTCAGTCCTGGGAAAGGACGCCTTTGCTGCTAGCGTTATACTCGTAGATGTTGACACACATTCAATGACAGACGAATAAATGGATTTCCGAGTCTTTTGGTGTCCAAACCACAGAAACTCGGGGGTGGGAGGTGGGGTGGCATTCAAAATGTGCCTAAATCGACTTAACGTTACGGATATAAATACTAAGCACGGCTTATTATGGCTAGGCATGTGTATGGGCCATGAATAAAAGCAATGCTCATACCTATGATATATTATTACATTGTATTGCGAAAGTCTCTGCGGGGGAAAACGAAAGAGGATTTACTTCTTTTTGTCTTTTCTCAGCTGTTTTGTACTTTATTTGTGTCTTGCAATTACACGCTTTTGTTCATGTTTTCCTCATTAAACATTTCGCTCTCTTTCTCTTTTCTATTCTTTCTTTTTTTCTGCCTGTTTTTTTTTCGTTCGTTTTTTTTCTGTTTACCGTTGAGTTCTTTTTATATCCTTTATTTTTTTTCTTCAAATCTATTATTTTGCCACCAATGTTATCTTTATTTCTTTTTTTTCCCTTTCTTTTGAACTACTGAGCATTCTTCCTGGTTTTTAATTATATTTTCCCATTGATAAAGCTGTTCCAATATTTACTAGCATCCTAACCATTGAGCACGGCGTCGTACTGTATCAAAGAACATAAAAAAAGCTCTGTTACTAAAAGTCTTTTGTGTAGTAATACTGTCACGTCAGAGAGAGAGAGAGAGAGAGAGAGAGAGAGAGAGAGGCAAGGAGAGAAAGAGAGAAAAGAAGAGAGATGGAGGCATAGAGAGATAGGGGGAGGCAGAAAGAGAGAAGAGAAAAAGGGGATTTAGAGATGGGAGACATAAAGAGAAAGAGAAGGAGAAGGGAGGAGAGAGGAGGATGGGAGAAGAGGGGAGAGAGAAAGTGGGAGAAATTGAAGAGATGAGGGATAGAGAGACGGGGTAGCACATGTATAAAAGGGTCTTACACTCATAACGCTAAAATAGCGACAAGCAAATCGACTAGTCTTTTGCATACTGGAAAGGAACAAAAAAGTGGGACAAGTAGTCTACAATTTAACCCTTTCACCCCACAAACAAACAAACAGAGAAATAAACAAACACACAAACAAACAAAGAAACTAGCACACACACACACACATACACACACGCACACACACACACACACACACACACACACACACACACACACACACACACACTTCGACTATCAAGGCACCCCGGAAATAAAGGGTCACAAGAGTGTGACAAACATACAAAAGAAGTAGAGGAAAATGACGATAGTAAGGATTAGGAAAGAAAAAGGAGCAGTTCCCTGTTGTAGTTCAGGCACAGTTATGAGCATGACATTGTTCGATCAGCCCATTTACAATTCTACTGTGCACTAGAACGAGAAATGTCCCCCCTTGGTAGATGGCCTAAAGAAAGACGACATACATTTTTTTATGTAAGCAAAAATTAATTGAAATACGCAAATCCTATCTTTACAATATTTATCCCAGACTTTCCGAATTCACAACACATTTTCAAAAGGTAAACTTGGAGACATTATTACTTTGGACCTAGTTATTGTGTTACTATTCTTTTGGAGCACCGAGTGACCTTCTATAGACTGAAATAGTTAATGTAAAGCCTCCCTCCCCCCTCCAAAAAACCCCCCACAACAACAAACACCCCTGCCCCAGAAAAAAGAGAAAAAGAACCCATAAAAAACCAACACCCTTGGAAAGAACTGATCAAATAGAAGATTATCCACTAATAATAGTTAACCTCTTTTTTTCTACAAAGTATTTACAGACTAGTTCAAATTGCCGTCCATTCATAGCATCGGATGATTTATGTCAACAGAAACTCGCTTTTATGACTCACATTTTGACACCAAGTGTGAGAACCGGTACAAGTGTTTGCTCATCGTGTGTAACATTAAATGTTCTACTTTATATATACTCATCTCCCACCCTTCTTCTCTCTCTCTCCCTC